CTGTTAAAACCTAAAGGATAAGTAGGTATGTAATTATTATTACTTTGGTTGTTCCAGTTTCCCAATGGGTTTGCTTGATTGTTCTCCCATTACTGATTATTACTATTCGAAGTATTGTTCCAATTAAAGTTATGATGGTTATTCCAACCTGGGTTATAATAGTTTGAATATGAGTTATTCTGCTTGTATTCTGTATGAGTTATTCTGCTTGTTTATGACATTCAAAGTTTCTAATGATGCTTGAGAATATACCATTTAGCCTAATGAATTCTCTTCAATCATTGTAATTGGTAAGAAAAATTCATTCCAAATTGATCTAATTTGCTTGAAATTGTAGCAGCTTGATTTGCTAACATTCCAAAACATTATATTCATAAATATTGGTTACTTTCTTAGGATTTACCCTCTTAGAAGGTCATTGAAAATTATTAGCAGTCGACTATTCAATTAAAACATAAGCTACATGAAATGATTTTGGCATTAATGAACCGCCAATAATGACATTGATAATAGATCTAAGAGATTCAGCTAATCCATTATAAAATGTTTGAATTATTAACCAATCTGGTGTAGCATGCTGTGGACACTTTCTCAGTATTTATTTATATCCTTCTCATGCTTCATAAATAAATTCACATTCAAACTGAGAAAGAGATGTAATATCATTTCTAAACTTCGCAAATTTCTGCTATAAATCACCCTAAGTTCTGAGAGATGCAGGTGTTAACGAATGTTTCATATCTTCACCTTATCCCTCAGCGAGAAAGGAAAAATTCTAAGTCTTATAGTATCATCTGATACACCAGCATATTTAAATGTAGCACAATTCTATAAAATTGGTAAGATATAAATTTAGATCTTCAGTTGGTGCTCCCGCAAACTGATTATTTGATATCATTTGGATAATAACAGGTTTAAGTTCAAATGAATTAGCCACTACAACATGTTTTTGAATACTACAATGAAGTTCATCCGCCGTAGGGTTTGCAAAATCTCTTAAAGGTTTAAACTCTTGATTAATTTCAGCATTTTGATTATTTTGGTTTGTCATCTTGAATTTTTTGATCTTTTTATGTATTTTTTATTCTTTTAATAGTTCTTTCTAATTCAGAATCGTGTGACATTAGTCTTTTAGAACATAAACTACGAATATATTACTACAAAACAAAATAAAATAAAATCACATAAACAAGAACATATATAAAAACAACACTGTAATATTCCTATAATAAATCTAAAAATTTAAGACTTTCTAAAAATAGAAATTTGCTTTTTTAAAATTTCTTTAAAATTTTATTTCTGTTCCCCGGCAACGGGGCAAAAATTTTGATCACGATTTTATATGACAATACGATGTATGCAGTTATATTTTTAATTTTTCTTTGCTTATAATTTTTACTTTGCAACTATGTTAAAAACTTGATCGCCAGCAACAGCTAGGCAAAACCTTGACTTTTAAGCAAATAAAAATGCAATTATTATATTAATTATGAGATACTATGCAATTATACGTATCGTTATAAAGTTATATAGGACTTTTTGATTGAGCTCCGAATATCGAACCCCTAGAAAAAAAAATACAATATGCAATTAAAATCGTAAGAAATTAGATAGCAAATTTTACTTTATAAAATTTTTTACGCAAACTATTGATGTTATAATATGAATGAAAGTTCAATTTTTTTGTAATTTTTGATAATTAAAAGTAAATTAAACCATTAACTAAACTTAACTAGATATTTGTAAAATGATGGCAATATAAATAAAATATATTTTTTCCTTAACATGAATCAATAATAAGTATAGGAATTCTGCTGTGAAAGTATCTAAATTGTGTTGTGTCAAATAGGAGCAATAGTATTTTTTACTCTCACTAGAGCTGCTATAAAGAACATTGACTAATTTAACATTTGAATAGTCTTGAAGACGAGTTAAATAGGGAAGATACTAGCGTTCACTCTAAAGTTCTCTCTTCTCTTCACCTAGTTAACTTCTCGTATCAAAATCTAAAACTATAAACCAACTTGGGGGTTTTAGTCTATCACTCTAAAATCCTCTAATTCTACAACCTTCAAAGTTTATTTCCCTATTTATTTACACTCAATCATATGAATTACATTATCATTCATGCAATTTCATTTGATTCTTACCATTAGTTGACTGAGATAATGTCATCTCAGATCTTACATGTTCTTACAACAGATATTAACATCTTAATTGGTCAAATCAAGAAGTAAATGAAGTACAAGGTTTAAAATCATCACAACTTATTCCAATATTAAAAATTTATACTTCACACAACTTCCATCCAATACTTAATCACTTATCATTTTAAGAAAAATGATAAAGAAAACTATTCAGAATTCATGGAGAAAACACAATCACACTTAAGAAAAATGATAAAGAAAACTATTCAGAATTCATGGAAAAAATACAATCACACTTAAGTTTGAGAGTAGAAATCATGCAAACAAGTAAGAAATTTAAATTAAAACCAAATGTAGTCACAAAAATAAAAACTCGTCTCAAATCCTCTCCACCAAACTCTTGAAGTTCATTTGAATCTCTTCTCTTCCTTTCTTTTACAATACTCTCTACTCACACACTACAGTTCCTCTCTTCTCTCCAATAAAATATCCTAATTAATCTATGAGAGAGGCGTCGGTGGCGTGGCTATGGGGGGCGTGTAGGAGTCTCTCTAGTGCGCTGGGAGGATGGCTGGAAGAAGTCTCTTCAGTCAAATTCAAGTTTTTTTATAATTTTCAAAAAAGTTTCTTGGTGTCTCTTCAAAATGTGTTCACATTCAATGAATCTTCCAAGAGTTACCTCCTTTCAAAATCCAATTGAATGTATTTTCATGTCCATTAACTATTTCCTACGTTTTCACCAAGGGTTGCTTCAAACACCTATTAAAAAATTCTTTCAAATTCATTGACGCTTAAGCGCGAGGTACTTGGCGCTTAAGCGCGGTCTTCTTGGTTTTACTGGCGCGTAAGAGCTAGTTCTGGGCGCTTAGGCACCACAATCTTTTTGCAAACCTTCTTCATTTTTGCTCCAAATTTGATCATTTGTTACTCATTTTATCATTTTTCATCTTTTTTTTATTGTACCTGAAAGAAAAACACAAAATATCTTCCATTAAAGCGCAATATCTCAAAAATAGGTATAAAAATAATATCTCAAAAATAGGTATAAAAATAAAAATATATACATAAAGACTATATATTTTAGTTGTATCTGCTACATATCAAATTTCGGTGATTTAATCTCTGCCTGATAACCCATTTCTACCCCATCAACATGAGTTTCCCCTCCAAGGCTCAACAGTCTCTAGTCGGACTGAGACAGCCGATCGACTGACTCAAGCGAAGTGAGCAAAGTCCAAACCACCAAAGGACCATCAAGGCCAACCGATTGACCCAACTCAATAGAGTAGGTGAAATGTACCTGACCCACCCCAGGATTAACCGACCAAATGATATGATAGCCGAACCAGGCTCATTTATTTTCTATATGCCCAAAATATCATGCAACTTTCCCATAAAAGCAGGGGCAATCATGTAATTTTCACTTCCTTATAAATAGGGAGGTCTTTCCATGTAAGGGTGGTTTTTGGCTCCCTCACCTCACCCATGTATCAACAATATTTGATTATATAAAAGAGTCACAAGATTACGGGAATACTCCAATTTGTCTAGATGGGCAAGTCCCAGCGCACTCTCTCTCTCTCTCGTTTTACGCTTTATTCAATATGTGTGATTCACAAGACAGGTCCAGATTCAACATAATGAAATTTCTCAAGTGTCTTTCCCATTGAGTTAATATCATAGCTAATGACCTAATAAAAGCTTCTTTATGCGTTTGTGTTCTAGTTTTTACATTGTAAGAGTTACTTTTTATGAGATAAGTTGTGATATATTACATCTTAAAAACCTATTACCTGCTCTCTTCCTTTTTTGGTATCTTTATTTTTCTATTTTTTATTATTGAAGAGTCCAATCTAATCCGGCTTATTGCACTAATCCCACTAGCGATGCTTTATTTCATGACCATGCCCATCCTGCTTAAAGTACTTCCTGAATCTTGAGACGTTTGAGCCAACTAATACTGTTGCTGCATTTGCCTAATGACTATGAATGCTCCTGAAATCAGCCAGCTCCCTTACCAATTCTGCAAAGCTTTTAGATTATATTTTTTGAAGCTTGCATGGCTAACTCCAAAATTGATTGGTAAATCTGTTTGAGAGGGCCTCCTTGGATCTAAAATATTCTTCAGCTTGTACTGGTAATCACCTCTTTCCCTAGTTCCTTTCGTTTCTACTTAACATACTTTCTAATTTCACTGAGGTACCTTTTTGGCATACATGGTCCATTTTCATTTATAGATGGCAGGTTATCCATGAAATTGCGACCTGGGTTTTTTTGGGATACTGCATGATGCATTCCTTGTGCCTGTTTGGTGCACCATATATGCATACTAAGTAATTGGCTTTATGCGTTGCGTGCTACAGCTTACATTGATTTTGTAAATTGGGGCATTTCTGCACAACCACCTATTTCCTATGTATTGACATATTTAACTTTTTGCTTTTTACATTTATACCACTATATATATATATGTAGATAAATTGAAGTGTACGTGTCAGATATGTAAATACAAAAGAATTGAGTGATATGTATGTAAATCTTCTTTTTAAATTTTGTTGCCATGTATATATATACATGTAATACTCAATTCCATCTTGCAGTACTCATTTATTGTTAAATCTCTAAATCAAAAAAAGCTTGCTACATTATATTTTGATGAACAGTATTGATAGGATTCCATCTAAATCAATTAGAGTTTATGGTTTATTGTTATGTATTTGTTGTACAGATTAATTCTCTCCTGTTGAGATTCTCTGTCCGCAATGTCATCTTGCATTCCATACTGGACCTCAGCATTTCTACAAAATCACATGCACCACAATAAGAAGTTTTAAGCTTTTTCACTTTTTGCAGGTAGAGAACTTCATCAGAGCAGTTTTTACTGATTCGCCCCTAAGGAAGGAGTGCCTCTGGAGGATACAGAGCACAAAAACGTAGGAGCATTCCATTGAAGGAGATATCACACCATAGTTTTGGGCTACTAACACCTCAAGTTCTTTTTATTATTTAACTTGATTCTCAAGTTTTGAGAAAACTTTTATGTAGTTATATATCAAATGGAAGCTTTATTTATGATTTTCAAGTATATATCATAGAAGCTATTTCTATATTTATAATAATTTTGTCCCCTCATTTAATTTAATTATGTCACTGCTACTTAATGTCATATTTTTCATTGCTACCTTTGCCAACTATGATATCTCATTGATTTTTGGGTTTTTTTAATTTATTTTAGGGCCTTAAAGGTGCTCTAATCAGTTAAAGCTGATAAATTATGTGAAAACTTATATTTTGAGCATTTTTTGCAGCACCACAGAACTTTTTTATTGAATTAAACCCCCTTGGACATTGAATTTTCTTCTTAGTTTTAAAAATGAAATGTTTTTTTATTTTTATTTTTATTTATTTATTTTTTTTGATGATCAATTTTGCGGTCTTAATTCATGAATTCGATCTTAAAAATTTTCCCTCGAACAATGCTGAGGGCAAGATGCTAATTCTGTAAAAATCTGACTTATTATTGAAGTAAATTTTTGTGATTGAACTATTAAGGACGCAGACTTATTGCAAATTTGTTCATCCTGTTAATGCAATTTGGAAAACATTTTATCCTCTCTTGCTTGGAGCAGTGAAGGAAGAATAGGAAAATCCCTTTTGCGTCAAAGATTTTGTAGAAATTAATTTTTTAAGCAGAGAACTATGGCTAATATATATTATATTTGTACACCAAAAAAATGGACAACAGGTATCTTGAGGGAATATAACAAGACCAGATTAAAAGAAACAAAATGAGGATCATCCCTTAGATAAAGAAGTTATGAATATTCATAAATCCGGCGAGTTGAAGACTGCTAGACGATCAGCAACCAGTAGACTAAAGGGTTGAAGACCGATTGAAGGCTAATCAAATAATCAAAGGGGAGCCCAAGCCAACAAGGGATAGGAATCCAACACAACGAACGGACAAAGGTCTAGTACTCTTAGTAATCTCACAAGTATCAAATAGAGACTAAATATTTTTCACAAAAATTTTCAAAGTTCTCTAATCAAGGAATAAGCAAGCTGACTGATAACCTCAAGGCCAACCGGCTGGCTCTCACACAGTTGATCGACATCCTAGAAAAAAGATCGATTGTCATGCAAAGCAGTAGACTGACACCAGTTTGGTCGGTCGATCCGATTACTTGTTGACCAGCATTCCAAGTACATTAAAAGAAGTCAAAATTAGTTACAAATTCAAAAAGGCAAGGACAAAAGATAATAATGTCATGTAACATCCTTATTAACGCAGAGACAGGCATGCAATTTTCCACCTTTGGCACTCTATCTTCTATAAATAGGGGGGTTCATAGCATGTATTAAATTTTTGTTGCCTCTTTAGGCTTGGCCACCTTAGGCTCTTCTTTCTATAGCCACTTTTGTGGGAGGGATCACTCTACCCTTCTCCATCCCAGTTGCAATAAATAAAATGGATCACAGTGCCCAAGAATACCTTAGTTCACTAGTACGAGGCAAAGTGTGTGTATGCTCTTATATTTTTATGTCCCTCTCTGTCTCTTTCTATACTTCTTCGTAATGGTTCCTTCTGCTCCGATCCTTGGGCATGTCTCATCGCAAAAATTTGGGTCCAACATCATAAAAGATGAAATAAGTGTGAAGCCTACTACCAACAAGAAGGGAAAAGACACCACTGAGAAGAAATGCGTCTCACTCTTTACAAGGAGCACGCATAGGAGTTCATGAAAAAATAGATCTAGAGCCGAAAATATTGTTTCCATCATCTCCTAGATGTTTTGGTTAGGAGGTGAGTACTGCAAATCAAACGGTCAACTCCCAACAGTCAAATCAAACCGATCGACCGTACCTGCACATTGCTTAGGCAATTCTAAGTGGCAGTCACCTTACCTTGCAGATAAAGGGAGTATTACTTCAAAACTTATCTTGTGTTATGAGAAACTTCTCTTATGCCTTCCCATGTCCAATTTACACTTGGGAACTTGATTTGAAGAAGTAATGTCGAAGGCAACCCCAAAAAGTTTTTGTCAGCAGGATAGCCCACAACACTCCTACATCGTAACTCTTGGTCTCCAAGCTTGTGTTGGATATAGCTTTGGAGGTGGTTCTTTGTTTAGTAGCGACAAGTTCCGCAAAGAATAAGGTCTAAATAACCCCAATAGGGAGTCTCAACGATTATCCTAACAAAAGCAATGATAAGATTCGTCTAAGTCATGATGAAAGATGTGGCTCGACCGAGGAGACAATCTAATCAAGTAATCAAGACAACGTAAGACGTGAGTCTGGTGATAATATCATAAAATAAAGGTGACTGAAAATGATGATATGGACATCTAATCGACACCCTAATAGCAAATATGACCCACAAATCCAAGTATCAAAAAGTCAGTCTTGAAGTTGAATGTGGATATAGCTTCTGAGGTGGTTCCCTGCCCAGTAGAGACAATATCTGCGAAGAGTGAGGTGCAAATCACTCCAATAGTGAATCTAAGCGGTTACCCTCACGAAGGCAACGACAAGGTCTACCTAAGTCCTCACAAAAGGTTTAGGTCGATTGAAGCAACAAATCCAATCAAACCAAAAATGAGACAGGCAGTGTGATCCCACGATAATATAGTTGTGTAAAAATTGCATAGTTGACTCTATTATGCAACGGTGCAAAAAGCTTGATGCAATATTTTATGAATAAGAAATTTAAGCAATTTATGTTGGGATTCTACACAAGTATTAGTACCGTTATCAAATAATAAAAGAATTTCTATTTAAGCTCCAAGGTTTAAATTTGAAATGATAAATTTACTAGGAAATTCACAGAAAGTCAATACGAAATTACTGTCCCTAATTTCGAATGTTGAGATATTATCAGAAGTAAATTATTTAACTAATAACAAAACAGGAATACAAAGTTTAAACATAAACTACTAGTCTATTAAACTATTAAACTATGTTTATGTGATGAAGATTTCTTATGTGAAAAAGCATCGTTTTCACTACAATGAGGTTCTGGTGAAATGAGATGAGATAAATGGTTCAATTATGTATTGTACCAAATAGAAACAGTTTTAATTCTCTACCTTGATACGGTGTTATAGAAAATCATTGGCTAATCCCAAGTTTAGTCCCTAAATTCGTGGCTAGGCTAGGAGGATACTAGCTCCCACTCTAGAGCTCCCACTTCCCTTCACCTGAAGGCTAACTCTCGCTTTAGTTTTTAAACACTAAGACTGGATTGGGGATTTTAGTTTGTCAGCCTAAAGGTTCTCCAATTCTTCACCCAATAAAGTATATTTCCCTATTTATGTGCACTTAATTCCATGAACGAAGTTCTCCTTCATGGAATCAAATGTGATTCTCACTCTGTTGTATAACTCATACTCAATTTCCCGGATCATATATTTTACAACATATTTTAACAATTCAATTGACCAGATCAAAAAGTAAATTAAGTTTGCAGTTGAAAAGTCATAACAATTTATTTTATATTTCAATATTGACACATTCATATTATCTCTTCATTTCACCATATCTCAGAGTAGGGAGAAAGATAAAGTAAACTACTTGGACTTCATGAGAAAGATACAACAAAAAACAAATTTTATATATAAAAGCAAATTCATACAACACTAATAAACAAATAACACTTATCGAAAACTCTTTCTTAAAGTAAATCCCTTGTAGCCTCTTCTAGAAAATGAAGGAAGAAGAAATCTCTCACTTTTCTCTTTCTCCAACACTCTTAGGAAAAAGTTCACACTTAATCTCACCACAAAACTTTAAATTATAAGAACAATGGACTCTAAATGATTGTGGAATGAAAAATGGAAGAATGTGTGATGTGTGGAAGGTTGAATGGAGGGGATGAAATGACATGAAGAGTCTCTTTTCTGATCAATTTTGGCCCCAAATAAAGCCTAGAGTCGGTTCTCCAATAGTTACCTCCAAATACTCATCAAAATGTGTTCAGATTCGTCAAATCTTCTAGAAATCAGGGCTGAACTAACATTGGCGTCGTCGACACTAGTGTCCTTTAATTAAATTCGTACTCTCTATCAAACGACGCCGCCGGCGCTGAAAAACTTTCAACTTCTTCATTTTTGCTCCAAATTTCACCATTTTTGTTTTCTTTTTGCTTTAAGTCCTAAAATTCAACAACCTGTAAGAAAATATAAAAATATCTTCCATTAAAGTGCAATATCACCAAAAATGAGTTTAAAATATGGGTCTAAAAATGCATATATTTTTGGTGTATCACAGTATAAAACTTATGACGAGCCATGACAAATCAAAAATGGCTGATAGTCATTCAAAAGGGATGAATCATTAAACAACACAATGTTCATCACCAAGCAGTAAGCACAAAATTATAAAGAAGAAAATGTGTGAAAAATTGATGGAAAAGCGTCATTCTTTTCTAATTGAAAATATACAAGTCTTTTCTATACATAAAAGATTTTATTTACATTAGCTTTACAAAGGATTTCTAGAAAAATCTCTTAAGTATCAGGAAGCTGACTTGAAAACCCTCTTTCGCCTTCGGCATCCGAGTCGTCCCCAAAAGCCACTCAAAACTAGTATAAAGATTAGCAAATTCTTTTGAGTTAGTGAACTTCAAGTCGATGAAACCCGACTGAATGAACTGATCGATCGTTGTTATACCTCCAACCCAAAATTGCTTGCCCATAATTTTTTCCTAATGTGGGTAATAAGTGCCTCAAAGAACTCCTCCTCGGTCTTCATTGTCGCCATCCGTGTCTTTGGCTCCTTGTTCTCTTACTCAGAGATCACCAAATGATTTCAGAGAGTGATAATATCCTCCTCAATCACTATCAGTTTTCTCTTTATTATCATGGCTTGCTTCTCAATCTTCTTCACAAGCCTGGTCGAGATGTTAGCCTTTTTGGAGGCGATAGCCCACTTCATCTCAAATCGGTCCAACACTACTGACCAGAGGTTTGAAGCCTCCCATTCCTTCAAGCATAAGTGTTCGTCCTTATTATAAAGTTTGGGTCGCTTAAACACATAGAGAGATTTAACAAATGCACATGACTAGATCACTTCTAAAATAGAGGGCATGTAGATTTCAACCAAAGGCAAACTATTGTACTAGTCCA